TTTTGCTGGATTAAATTCAAGTTATAGCTTACTCCTGGCATTCTGGATCATTGCTCTCTCCTCTGAGGAGTCACCCTGGCAAGCCGTATTAGCATTTGAGCAACAGCGGTGCGACTACAGAGGCAATTGGAGTTCACATAATTACTACTTTTCTGGGAGATGTTCATAGGGAGATTACCAGCAATGCAGAAGGTCAGGTAAGATGTTTGAAGATGTTGTTGGTATTTTGAATAGACTATGAAAAAGGATACACCCACAATGACCACCACGCAAAACAGTCTGCTCTCTACTATTCAGCCCTTCTGAGTAATTTTGTGTTTAGTTCTCATGTAAAAGAATTATATCAAAAGTTGTTAACAGCAAGTTAGTTGCTTAAAATAAGGAGCAGGCTGTGTACTGCAGCGACAGTATACTCAGCTCAGAGTCCATTTCAATCAACATCTCCATCCAGAAGGAGTTAACTGCCACCTTTGAGGGGCTTTGTGTCCCAACCACAAAATACAGCGACAAGTGGGATGTATCCTTAAGTGAACTGCCTTTATTGTAGTACTAAAAATCACACTCCTAGGTGAAAAAGACCCTTGCTCAGGTGAAGACCCCTCCCCTGAGCATGCGTAAGAACGGGCACAGTGAGTACACAAAATTATGTGTAAAATTACCAATCAATCAGTGCTAGAGGGATGATTACTGACTGCGCAAATACTATGTTGTTGTTGTTATTGTTGATTGGATGGTTTGTGATTTGGAAAGTCAGGAGTGGGTGCTCAATTTGCAGGAAACCACCGAGCACCTGGCCTTGCGCAACTCGGAAATAAATGAGCAAACGTCTCTCGTGCGTGTGGGACTACTGGCTCACTGCGTGCCGGGCAACAGAGCTGCTTTTCGGACACCAAAGTATCTTTAAGATATTTAAATGTTTTTAAAGAATAAAGTAACTTTAAAGTATTTCTGCTTCCCCTTTGCAGAACTCAATGTTCAGACATTGGTCAATGAAACTAGAGAAAAATATTAAGAAGCAACAGCAGCTGATTTGGAATTATGAATAGATTCAAGAATCTCCACCTTGGCTTTCAGGAAAGAGCGTGTTTAATTCTCTCTTTGCTTTTGCAAGGGAAAAGGGAGGTAGGGTATAATTGTTTAATAGGTTTAGATGGAACACAAACTTACACATGATGGAATATGTTGAGTAAGCTTTTTTTAATGCATTTCATAGAATCATAGAATCATAGAATGCTTAAGGTTGGAAGGGACCTCTAGAGGTCATCTAGTCCAATCCCCCTGCACACGCAGGGTCACCTAGAGCATGTGGCACAGGACTGCATCCAAGCGGGTTTTGAAGATCTCCAGAGAAGGAGACTCCACAACCTCTCTGGGCAGCCTGTTCCAGTGCTCTGTCACCCTCACTGTTAA